ACAGATAATCATCTGTATAAAGTAGATCAAATTTCAAAACCAAGCAACATAAACCAAGTTCCGTTATTATTTACATGGATTGATAGCAAATGTGCCAAAATCATAATTTTATTGTTAAATTTAACCTCACATTAGGATGACCTGTACTGGCTGAATTATAGAGGGAACTGTATAACTTTCTGCATTTCCTAACTAATACTGATTACCTAGGATTTGTAATATTTTATATATTTCTTTTGTTGTGCAAATTACACACATGGATGCTTGGAGAGGGAAGGTGATACAAATAAATTCAGGATGGGATGAATATGCCAAATGTAATTTAACATAATCTAGATAAGACAAGCAAATCATATTCTGGAAACAGAATGTTAAAAAGTGGAATGTGTTGAATTAAAAACAAATAAATCATACAATCCACTATTACACTAGTTATGCGTGAGTTCAATCTTGATTAGAAGAGGAAGATTCAACATACTGTGTAGTAAATGCTGTAGAATGTAAATATGTTTATATTGAACAATCAATTGCTTAGAATATATTTTGTACATGTCATAAGGTCTTGATTATAATAAAAACATTATACTCTATGAGTATTTTACAAAGCAATTAAGTTAAATGCCTTACTCTCACACATTTATTGAACTGAATTTTATTTTCCTGAAAACAGAACACTTGTTGCAAGCATTCAAAATTCTGAGAGATGTTAAAGTCATCCTATTGGACAGCTTTATGATCAACAGTAAATTTCAGACCTGAGAGCACAAAAGAATATTAGGATGAACACAGAGTCCATTTAGGACTGCGGAGTAGGTTACCAAAACCAGGGCATCACGTAGAGATGTGTGCAGGAGACTTAATTATCTTCTATTAAACACAAAAGCTAGGATAATGGACTCCATCCATCCATTTTCTAACCACACTACCCCGTTCCAGGTCGCAGGGGATACAGAACCTATCCCCGCAAGCAAAGGGCTCAAGGCAGAGTACAACCTGGAAAAGAAACCAATTCATCACAGGCCACATACATACTCACACCAGGGCCAGTTTTCCTGGAAGCCAAATAACCTATATGTAAAAATGTCTTTGGACTGTGGGAGGAAACTAGATCACCAGGCAAAACCCCCAAACAAAAAAGGGGGGGGGGGGTGGACATAAACTACATTCAGATAGCTCCCTAGGTCTGGAATTTAACCAAGGGCTCCAGCAAAGTGAGGCAGCAAACTAACTGTGCCACCACCGAGTCACCCTTAAAGGACTCGTCTTATTCTTAATTTAAGTTGGAACCAGTTCAAGCCCAACATTATAAGCAAGTACCTGAGGTCCTAAGTGAATAATTCATAGGTTCCCGAATTCAAGGCTTTCATACCAGGGAATATTGTACTGGGCAGTTCATTGCACAAAAGTGTACAGGAGTGAGTGCATGGAACAATACAGTACCTTTTCTGGCTAAAGCTACATTTTTATGATCTTTCAGGAAAGAAGTTGGGAAGAAATATTGGGACTGAGTTTTTCTGGATAACTTTTTAAAAAACGTTAATTGATTGTGCTTGTCAATTCTTACCTTGCTTTGAGCTTGAGCACTCAGGACCATCAACAGTCAGACAGGATACAATAAGACATGGCCAGTTTATAGAAACACTTTGCATCTTTAGTTAAGCACAAGAACCCATTATGGATTGGATTTTTGCCTACTTTTCCTTAGTCATTTGGAGATTTTTATTCCCAGGAAAACACTGTGCATACAAAGCAGGGATTTACTTTGTTCCATTTAAGGAACAGCAGCATGGAAATTAGATTACATTTTACCCGGCAGTGTGTAGAATGCCTTTGGAAAAGCGTCACACCACACTTTCTTGGAAAAGAAAGCAGTCCTGTTCAGCCCAAGGCAACAGACTACATATGAACTAAATGGACCCAAAGTGTTAACAATACTGTGAATAGAAAGGATTTCTATATTTCCCATTTAGTGCATTGCAGAAGTATTCAGATCTTTGCAGTTTTTGCATTTTTCACTTAAAGCTTACAATCATGACAATTTGTTATACCTGTATACACAAACTACTACACACATTCAAAACAAAGAAAGCAGTACTGTAAATAGATAATGAAAGAAAAGTCATGATTGTATAAGTATTAAAATTATTAAAGTTTACAAAGTTACTTTAACAAGACATACGATTATTTGAGTGGTCTCTGTGTGCATCAATAGCATTTCAGAATAAATATATCTCTGTAAGGTCTCTCAGTCAGGTAGTGAATTTCAAACAGATTCAACTGAGACCAAGGAGCTTTAGGGAAAACAGGGATAAAGGGGTATAAACGCACAGATCAGAACAAGGGAATACAACACCTCAACAACCATCAGGTAAGAAAAGAGCTTTTAATGAAGTCAGGCAAGGAGGAAATTAGGGATGCAAATTGAGGTCAACATTGACTTTAAAGGAGCTACAGAGTTGAATGTGTATGCAGTACCAGTCAAAAGGTTGAGTACACCTGCTTGAAACCAGGTTTTTCCCCATGATTATCTGTATAAACTTATCTATAAATACTTATTTAATTACATAGTGTACTTATAAACTTACATTAACTGTATTAAAAATGTTATTTTCATTTTCAATAAAATGAACACCAAAAGAAAGCACATTTCAGTCTGAACCCCAGGTTTAGTTACAGTAAAAGTCAGAAATGACTTTTATAATAACATGGTGTTAGAACACTGAAAGAAGTTTAAAATGGTCTTTATTAGATGTTCTCAGTTAACTAGCATGTTACCTCATTTATATTTTGTCACTAATTGGTAAACAGGTGAGGGTCAACAATTACTATAAATATAGGGAGCATGGGCAAAAGTTTATAATTCCTGAATGAACATGGCAACATTTAGCCAGCAAGCAATGAAAAAAAGACCATCTATAATTACTTTAAGAAATGAAGGTCAGTCTTTAAGACAAAATTGCAAGAACTTTGCAAGTGTCAGTAACTGTTGTAGCCAAGACTATCAAAACAACATGAAGAAACTGGCACTCATCAGGACCAAAAAAGGTCAGGCAGGCCAAAGGTGACCTCAGGATCAGAGAATACATTCATTAGAGTCACAAGTCTGCAAAACCAGCAACGAACTGCCCCTGAAATACAAGCTGAGTTCAATGCAGCTAGAAGTACAGATGTTTCAACATCAACTGTTCAGAGTAGGTTGCATGAAGCTGGCCTACCAGGAAGAATTTCTGCAAATAAACCATTGTTAAGACCACAGAATAAGAGGAAGAGACTTGGCTGGGCCAGAAAACACAGAGATTGGACCTTTGAGGCCAGCTTCACGCAACCTCCTCTGAATAGTTGATGTTCACCAAAAGTAACTTAGCAAACTAGTTTATATGGCAGAGTGGAAAATCCACCTCAGAGTTTGCAACAATGCAACAATGCATTTAAGCGACACTGCAAACAATGTTTTGTGGTCACAAAAGATCACAAATATCCTAATTCAGGTGGTAAGGGAAAGCCAAGGCCAGGCCAAGAGCCAAGCAAAAGTCCAGAACCAAAAGTCAGATTAGAAATCAAGATCAGGAAACAGGCCAAAAACCAGAAGGAGTCCAGGGAGTATCCGGCACAGGTAAGATCCAGAGCTCTAAATGTTGTAACAGTAGTGAAGGAAGAGTCAGAAGGGAGAGAGGTTTAAATAGGTTTGGGGAGGGGGCATGTGGTGATGAAGGGACACTAGGCAAGCAGGGATTGGCTATTGCCTTATAGCTGATCTGCGCCTCTGCTGTACAGAAGACGTAAGCCCTAGAGGTTGAGGTGCCCTCTGCTGGTGGGATGCTGGGACTGTAACAAGATTTCTTTTTTGACCCTGCCTAAAAATTATATTTTAATATAATAATGGCGTCACACGTATTACTTGTTTTCTTTGGGGGGGTTATATACCCTTGTTTGAGTTGTGCGTGTTTTTATTAACCATAATCTGGATTTAAAAGATGCTTGCCCACTCAGGATCATTAAATAGCGCAGCTGACAGCTAATTCATTGGGTTATTGAAAAACCCGAACCATCATGAAAATCATTCTGTCAGGCCTTGTTTGTCTGTTTTTTTATTACAAAGATAGGAACCTGACTTTCTAGAAGGTGCAGAGACTGACTCGGAGAAATCAATATCAATATCTTCTTTTCCACTTTTATTTTTAATAAAAAAGATGTGGGTTTACTCTACTCGGACCTTAAGCTTAGTTGTTGAAGGCTAACTTGAGAAATGCACGTTTACTGCATGTATTTCAGATATTTTTTTTATGAATTTCCATCATCGGCATTTCAGATATTCATTTAAGTCACTTTCGGGACTTTTATTATAAAAAGCGTTAATCGATTTAGTAGTTTAGATTTTCAGATTTTGATGCCATTGTGGAATTTTAGGTTTTCATTCTAAAGATGGTTTAGTTACTATTTTAAGCGTATACTGTATATATATATAGAGGGAATTTATCAGTGTTCTCATTTTTTTTTACTATTGCATGGAGGTTACCTTTCATAAAAAAATCCTGTGCAGCACATATGTTTACGTGTTATCACTTTAAAATAATACAATACAAAGAAGCTTAAACCTTAGCGGGACGTTAGAAACAGAATAAAATAAGACAAATTAATGAACTGAATATCAGTCATTACCCGTACAATCCTATAATTAACGGGATGCCGGGATAAAGCAATAATTTACTCCATGATTAGGCGCAGTCGTTTGAAAAGAGTTGCGCACCAAGAAAAATAAATACTGTCGTTTGTCGAAATCCAGTTTAATAAATTAACTTGATCTTAAATTATCACACAGAAATCTGCAAAATGTTTGATCTGACGGATAAGGGGCCTTCTGCCAAAGTCACTATATGAGAATAAATCCAAGACAGTCCAAGGTGTTTAAAAATATTTTAGTAGGATAGGAAATCCATGAGAATGTAGAGGTCATTGATGGATACCTTATCGTAACCAGGGACTACTCGCAATAACCCTTATGGCAGAAGGATAATGCAGCAAGCTTTCCATGAGTAAGTAGATTCTCTTTTGTCTGTCGGCTTAATTAATCTTACAAAATACAATCACTTCTAACGGATAGTTAGCGGATTATATTATGAAAATATCAATATTTAACAAAGGACGCACTTCATAAACTGTATTCAGTAGCACTCTGTTCAGACAATGGTATTCAATTTTAAAAATAAAAAGGGATTACAGTTAAAGAAAAAATGTAAAAATATACCCTTTAACATGCATATTTATTGATCAGAGTAATTGCAATAGTAGGTTACTCGTTATCACATTATTTTGCCTACATGCAAACTACGATCTTTTCTATTTAGTGTGAAAAATGATTAGTTATAATATCTGTTGTAACAACATTGCTTTAACAGAGCAGCGCAATTGATTGAATACTGCACAAAAGACAGATCGAAAATAAATGAAACCGAAAACCATAAAAAAATCATTATAAAGATCCAGTACTTCGAGTCACGAGTAAGGAAAGACATGGAATATTCTTAAAAGTTATTTGCCCATAATGCATAATAATGCATTATTTTAAACCTAGCAAAACGTACGCACACTGTATACGAATAATTCCATTTGACCAACAATATTCAGAAGAGGGTAGCATTATTAATTTAAACGTTACCCATTGTGCAGGTAACTCAGTAGATACATGTATGCTGTCGACTTGTCTATAGCTAATGAGAATAAACAGGTAAGCTATTTATGTTTTTCAGTTACTGTTCTGTCTGAAACTGGCAATGAAGAGTTGGAGGTGACGTCAGATGCAGAGCCGGTGTCTTGTCAGTTTCGCAGACTCGCACATATTGTGTTTAGCCTTATGGATCCCTGCTCGACTTTAGAAACCGCTGCCAAACTCGAACATGAATCAAACCAACTCGGGAAACCTCAGTAGTCCTCACCCCGGATCCGTGGACGAGCTGATCATAACCTCCACATTCGGGACCCTGCTGTCTCTGGTGTACGTGGTGGGGGTGTCCGGCAATGTCTACACACTGGTGGTGATGTGTCATTCCATTCGTTTCGCCGCTTCCATGTACATTTCAATTATCAACCTTGCCCTCGCCGACTTGCTTTACCTGTCCACTATTCCCTTTGTGGTGTGTACCTACTTTCTGAAGGACTGGTACTTTGGGGACGTCGGCTGCCGCATTCTTCTAAGCTTAGACTTACTGACCATGCACGCCAGCATTTTCACGCTGACTGTGATGTGCACTGAGCGTTATTTGGCCGTTACCAAGCCTCTGGACACTGTTAAGCGCTCAAAAGGTTATCGGAAAGCTACCGCTGGTGGAGTGTGGCTACTTTCTCTGCTCCTGACATTGCCAATGATGATCATGGTTAACCTACAGACGACCAAGAAGGACAACGGGGTGAAAAGAATGTGCGCTCCGACCTGGGGTCCCGAAGCTTACAAAATTTACCTTACAGTTCTTTTCAGTACAAGCATAATGGCACCAGGTGTAATTATAGGCTACTTATATACCAAGCTCGCCCGCACCTACCTGGAGTCCCAGAGAAACTCTGTTACAAACAAGGGACATATAAAGCGCTCACCGAAGCAGAAGGTGCTAATTATGATCTTCACCATTGTGCTCGTGTTCTGGGCTTGCTTTCTGCCTTTTTGGATATGGCAGCTGCTGCCTCTTTACCACAAACCGCTGCGACTACCCTCTCACACCCAGACCTGTATTAATTACTTGGTTGCATGTCTGACCTACAGCAATAGCTGCATTAACCCCTTTTTGTACACGCTGTTGACCAAGAACTACCGGGAATACTTGAAAAACAGACACCGGAGTTTCTACCGCTACACGTCCGCTTTCAAAAAACGACCCCCCAGCTTGCACTCCTCGTGGGGAAAATCTGTCTCCTCTAGTAACCAGTTCGACTTCCCCTCCGACACTTTTGTAATGGGACAACTGAAGGCGCATTAGTGAACTCCGCTACTGGTGGCTTGGGTGGTGATAGCTGCCTTTACAAGTAAGCTCATTAATTCTCTCCTGCTTATCGAAGAAACGCGTTTTGGTCTGCTATCAAGATAAATTAGCTTCACCAACCAAGTGTATCGAATCATTATGGTAATCATCTTATCCTTATTCCTCCTTGTCCTTCTCCGGAATGTTTGTCCATAAATAATTTATGTCCTGACTGGGATTTGTGTTTTCCATTTAACTGACAGTAACATAATTATCTCTTGTGGTGAAAATTACACAGCAGACAATTCATAAGCACAAATGTAAGGAAAACATGAATCCAATTAATCAATCTTATTTTAATATCTAAACAAACATCAGGAGTTGAGTATTAATCACACTGTATTAATCCCTAAGAATTCTTATAAGCATTCTTAGATGCATGAAGTATTTGTACAGTGAGTACACATTGCACATGACTGCCATTACAGTGAATTGTGTAGTCTTTATGAATTGTGAACCAATAATGATAATACAATATATTTATTTTTAGATGGCTTCCAAAAGAAAGTCAAGCAATATAAATAGTTTCAGGAGTTATTTTTTATTTTTCAAAATAAGCATAACGTTACGTTCAGTTTTACACATTTCAAGAGTGGTTTGCTGTTAATTTTTGTTTTTATTACTTTAAAGAGGAGCACTTACTGTAGTATAGTGGCAGGTTTAAAAACAGCTTTCAGAAGATTTCAATTACACCAGACATAGCTCTGCAAACTTAATATTGAATTTGTATCCCCACTTCATCAGTCTAAAAGTGCAGAACCAAACAACTGAAATCTGTAGAAGAGACCTTCTGTAAATCAAATTCACACTAGTAGTTTACTTTGTTTGAACATCAGCACTTACTGTAGTATTTGACATCAAATTGCAATAACAAGATAGTTTGGAATGCTACTGGATTATTTCATTGCAACCCAGCATCTTAAAGTAGAAGATCCAGGACAGGATGGCACAAGTAATGTCTTACTATAAAATCTATCCATTTATTATCTGCTTTATCAAACACAGCTGGGGCCTAACCCAGTAAGCAATGGGCACATGGAGGACACCAGTCCAGCATATGACTGACACACACACCAAGGGCTAATTTTCCTAGAAGCCTACCTTAACCTACCTGTTACCAGTGCTCCAGGGGTGCACCCAGAAGAAACCCACATGAAAACAGGGAGAACATACGGTACAAGCTCCACACAGATAGCACCCCAGTTCCAGAACTGAACCCTGGGACTCAGGACTGCAAGGCTATGCTGGCTACTGTGCCATCTTGTCAGTTTTCTTTTTTTTTGTTTGTGTTCTGAAATTGTTGTAATCCAACAGCAAGTTTCAATTTGTTTGCCCTTCACGGTGACACTCAAAAAATAGAAAATAAAAATATAAATCATTCATTGGTTTTAGTATACAGTAGTTGTTGGCTTTAAGACCCTCTACCCTTATGAGGACAAGGTTGAGTTGAAGGTCCACTAGGAGGATTCTTTGGCAAACAGTGTATTTGTCAGGTAATTTGGTCTAAATTTATTTTGGAGTAGTATACAGGTATGCAGGTATGCAGTATACAGGTATACAGTATATAGAATATGCAATTTAATTAAATATACTGTATACTAATGGAATAAAGAAATGCAACACCTCTTCCTCCACACTCTGGCCCTCCCGTCTGCATGGAACAGGTTGAAGAGTGACTCATCGATTAAGAGGACATCAGCCACTGTTGACGAGTCCATCACAGCCTCTGTCTGGCCCGGGTGAAACGTCTAGGAGGTGTGAGCAGAGGACCTCTAACAGGTCTTCTTGCTCCAAGGCCAGCAGAATGGAGTCTCACTGTCCTGTCACTGATGCAGGCATTGTGTCTGCCGGCAGTTTCAGCAGCAGTACGAGTGGCAGATCTGAAATGATCTCTCAGATGGACCAGTCTGATGTGTCGGTCCTGTTCTGGTGTGGTCACTCGAGGGCGACCGGATCTTGGACCAACATCTGTCCTGCTGGTCTGCTGAAACCTTCTCTGCAATCAGGACACAGTGGAGTGGCTTACCCCATAGTGTCTGGCAACGCTGGCACGTGACATGCCTGCCTGCAGCATGCCAATGGCCCTCTCCCTTGCTTCTGGTGACATTCGAGGCATTATGAAATGCACAGAAAACTGACTAAATGTGGTCTTTTTCTTGCAGTAACCTACTGTAAGCTTTGAATTAATTGTTCCCCTAGAACTTGTTGGGTAAAGGTGCACCTAACAAGCTTTCATGTGATTGGCAAGTTGCAATGCCTCACTGCAGAAGCTGTATTGCTGATCAGAGGGCTTAAAACAAATTGACAACTTTTTGTGAAAGTACGTAAGCTATAACTCTAGTCTTCTCATTCCAAAAATATTTCTTTTTTTTTCCAGCAGTATATATGTATGTCATCGTTATTTTTATATCCTGTTTATACATTTCTATCTTCTTGCTGAATTGAGACCTCAGTTTATTCTATTTATGTGTCTGTTTAAAAAGTGCAGAGATTTATTTTTTAATACAGTAACATAATATGCATCCCAGCATCAGGGCAGAATATTTCTGCTATGGACTGGTCAATCACTAGGCTGAAATGTGGACAGATAATCACAGTACAGAAAGACATAAGCAGGTTTTTGAAGATCTGTGATTTTAGAGGTTGCAGGGTTTTTACATACAGTAGATCCATTTTCTAGTGTCTGTTTATCCAAACTGGACTCCAAATTAAAAATAATTCAAGGTATTGCAGTTCTGTAGTGACTTAGACATTGAAGACTATTAAACATGTGTGGTGCCACAACCAGTGCCAGGGTAAAGGCAGCCTGCACTTCCACATTTTGCCCATATGGAGTACAATAGCATGGACCAGGAATGCCCATCTTGCTTAGACAATATACAAGCACATACATTAAAGTTAAAGATTTGAACAAAAAGCATTAATTGCCCTTATTTTATCAGTTCTTTGTGCTAAAATGAACTGATGTTCTTTAAGAAATTGGGAATTTTTGAGTGTATGTCTTTAGGCTGTGAAAAAAAAATATTTTTATGTATAATAAATGTAAGAATATTTGCTGCAAATTACAGTCTTTTCATTTTATTGTTTTTAAAGATTATGCTAATGATTTCTTATAACTGTTCATAAGGTCGTGGGTGTGGTCTGAATCTAAATGCAATTGACCTGGGAATTCTAGGGAAGTCTGAGAAAACCCAACTGAAAAAAGATTGAGCACTCCAGAACAATGGAGGAAAAGTGATAGGGAAAGCAGGTGCTAAATAAATAATAAGATGCATGTCAGATCTTGGACAGCAATGGGAAAAGGCTCAACAGTCCAAAAGAAAGCCGGCCTATTGCACCTCAGATGACAAAGGCTGGCTTGAGATAATGCTATCCTTGAGGGAACTGTTACTGAAGTCTTCTGGTCAGGAAATGGGAGCTACGGCCACTGGGGGGTTGCTCTTTTCACCTCAAGAGTGGATACCTCTTGCCATGCTCCCAAAGAGAGGGGCCCAACAGCCCCCTTGACAGCTCATGCAAAGGCAGACTGAAACGTAGAAAAGAATAGTGCCACATAGGGATGAGCCTCCCTAGCTCGTAGCTGTGTTATGTCCAGTAGTCTGCCCAGAGTAGGCGGTTTCGACCAACAGGCCGGGCAGGAAAATTCAGTCGTACAGTCTGCGAGTACGAGGAGCAGGTGTATTCGATCTAGACGCCCTAGAGGTGGTGGTGGGGGGGGGGGGGGGGGTTCTCCCAAGACCTGGTCAAGCGTATGCTGTCAGCTTGATGTCCCAGTTGCAATCTTCCAATGAAGAGCCCAGGGTCTGAAGAAACCAGATTCCCTGGCACCTGATGAACTAGGCTAACAGAGACATTGGCTAAAGAGGGGTCTTGACTTTGACCAATCATCTGGTCCCTTCACCTCTACTCAAAAGCCCCCAGACAGCACAGTTGGGACACTGAAAGCTGAGGAGAGAGGAGAAAAAAAAAGAAAAGAAAAGTGGAGAGTCACCTATATCTCTGTCTGGTAGGAATTGGAAAGCTGAGAGATCCAACCAAACAGGCCAGGTAAGAAACTCCAGTCAGGCGGTCTGGTTGGAGGACTCCAGGAGCCAGCTGATTCAAGGTGCACACCCCCCAGTGTGGTCACCTCAGAGACTAAGCCAAGCACGCACTGTAAGTTTGGTGTACTGGCAGCAATCCTGTGATAACAATCCCAGTGTCAGAGGAAATGGATTCCTTGGCACTTGATGGAGCAGGCCGATGGAGACATCTGCAGGAGAAGAGTCACTCTTACTCCCACAAGCCCTCTGACCATCAGACCACACTGTCCTAGTCAGAGCTCCCAGACAGAGCCAGGGGAACAGAATCCCAGGACAAGGAAGGCTCCACCGGGACCCTGGAAGGTGGCTCGGGAAAAGATGAAGAGAAAAAGTGAGTGGAAAGAGGGTGCAGTACGAAGATTGGGATGGGAGCAGCAGTGCTAGGCAAAGGCAGGAGCCACAGCACTAGGTAAAGACTTGAGCCGCAGCACAGGAGTTCAGAAATCAGGACTGGAGTTTTAGGACACAAGTCTGGAGTACAGGAAACAGGATTGGAGTACAGGACATAGGGCTGAAAAGGTACGGACTAAAGAGTGCAGGCTGCTTTAGCAAAGTTTCAAGAAAGCAGTTCAAAGTGAGGCCCAGGGGTCCAGATGAAGGAGGCTCCCCCAGAATAGAGCTGGGTAGCAGTGGAGATGGAGGCAGCCGAAGAAAGGTCTGGAATTCCATGACATACTAGAGTGCACACACAAATAGTTAGGTGAAGATTCAGCCAGCAGAAACCAGGCAGAAATGGAAAGGAGTGAGCAAAAAGCAGTGCTGCCGGAGGGAGAAGGTAAATTATAGGAGAAGCACTTTTGGAATATAAAGGGAAATAGGTAATTGAATAATTGGTGGTCTAAAAAAGTGATAAAGGAGCATGGACCAAAAAAGGATCCATTGGCAGCAGTAAGCCATGGGAAACAGTGAGCCCTCATGAGAATGTTCTGTTTTCCAGGGCAGCCATGGGCTGAGAGACACCACGGGACGGCGGGTGTAACATTTTAATTACTGTATATAGAATCTTCAATTGCATAAATGATGAATGCTCCTTAATTCTCCTGAATAAGAAGTAATTCCAAGTGGTCTTGTGGATCCTGGGTTTG